CATTACGCAGCACATAGTTTTGTATGGAGAGATATTTTGAAAAACAAAAAGAGTTAGATAACGAACGGTTAATGATATTTTGGATCTACATCTAATATCTTTTAAATGCATATAATGTTTCAGAGTTGTAAAAACAAAAAGTAATGTATAAATTATTATATTATAGTTTTTTAAAAAAAAATTCTGTCAATAATATTTGTGTATCAATCATACATGTTTTGGTTAAATCGCAATATTTGGAGATGTTGTGGATGAATTATATTATCAATATCAGCATTATTAGTTATTAAAATAGATATATAGCCTTGCCTAATTCATTGTCAAGTATATAGATTTTTTTTACTTTTTTATTTATTGTCAGAAACTAATTAAAGATGCATTATTTATTTTTCAATTATTATTTAAAAACATTCAAACTGTTACACAACTTAATCTTTTGTATTTGCTATTGATCACTTTGCAGGGTTGGCAAACTGACTAGTCCATTGAGAACTGATGATTCATTGCCATTAATAAAACACTAAATATAGCTAAAACATTACACCAATTGACCCAATGGATCGCATTTGCCAACCCTGGATCACATACTGCTAATGGTGAAAGAAGGAATGGTACAGATGATTATAAAACTCATTTATCATTAATTCAAAATTAATCAATAAAAAAACAAACAAAGAGACAGTTGTGGTTGAAAAGGCAAAAAAAATTGACATCCAACTATCAAAGAAAAAGTTGATGATATTGATAAGTTAAAATCTTTTGGTATACAAACTTCAGGTAATTAAATTAAAGGTTATATCAATAAAAGTGATCAAAATAGTCATTTATCATTGTATAATTTTAGGCTTGGATGTAATGTATTTAAAATTTCCAGAACTTTATTTATATCATGAAATTATGTCTTTTAAATTTCCAGAAACAATCCAAGCATAAGAAATTTAGCTAATTCACTATTGTACTAAGGTTGCTTGCCAAAACTCCTCCAGAAATCAATCAGCAGGGTTTCAGTAGGTTACACATTAATTGTTTATTAGAGTTTCAGCAGAGTTTCACATTTTGAGGTTTCGCCATTTTGGCATAGTTTCAACAGGATTTTTGATAAGATTTAATATAGTTTTCAGCAATTGCTGAGAAGGTTTCGCCCACAACCTTAATTGTTACTAATTCAGTTAAGGGTGAGTATGTATATGTATATATATGTTACTGTTTGAATACTTGATCAATTTTTTATAATTTTGTAGTCAATAATATTTCAAAATTGTAATATAGTTGGCTTGGTCTAAA